TGCGCATAGAAGCAAAAGCAAGCGTTGTGCGTTTGAGTTATTGCTGCGTGCTCCACGCTGTGCAGGCGCGACGTCGCCATGCTCCAATTCAAGACCACAATTATGGGCACGCGCGGTGTAGAAACCGTAACGAAAACACACAGCACTTTCGTTCGCTCGTATACGAAATACTAAAACTCACTACTGCTTGACCGGTTTGCAACGCCAACAAAAAGTGCTGCAGTGAGCAAACGTGCAAGCGGGTGAGCGTTTTTTAGCACTGGAAAGGCTGATACCGGCAAATCGGCGGCGCGCAAAAATAAGAAACAAAATGTTCTAAAAAAGTTATTAACTAAACAATTTTTTTATATATTTGGGGCATTTGGTCCGGGGGGATTGACGATGACTTTGGAAGTTTTGCCAGTGGTCAATGGTCGCGACTTTGATAGCTTTACACACTGCAGTTTGTGTGATTTTACATGGATTTTTCAAATTTCTTATAGAATGATTTAATTGATTTTAGAATATTTTTATTTTATAACTTGTTAATCAAAATTGCTGCAATTGGCACAAGTGATGATAATTTACATTTTTGAGTGCCATACTTGTTCGCTCGGCTCAAATTAGATCATAAGCAACAGATTATGTGAGAGCTTGAAAAACTACGGATTAAAATATCTTAATTGTAATATTATTATTAATACGAATTGCCGCAATGTAGGCTTTCAATAAACGCCCCGATCACAAACATCTGTCATTCAACCATAATAGTATTTCCAGAAAGGTCTCATTTTTTTTCGCATATAAAAACTTTCACATGTTTATCAAGATAGACAAACAGTCAAGCGCTGGATGTAATATAAACACCTATGCGTGACGCATTGCTTCAAAAAAAAAAAAACACTTCTGCTCTCTGACTCGGATTCCGTCTTTGTTTTTTTTTTCTTTTTTGTTTTTTTTTTTTTTAGTAAGAACAGTGTTTCTTAATTTATACGTCTTGTGAACCTATTCCAAATTCATCATCCGCGGCGAGATTTTGTAAAATTCAGAATGATTCTGTTATTTTTCTGCTATGGAATAATGTTAAAGCAAATCAATCATCTAAATACCCTCAGACCCCTTAGAAGGCCCGGGGTTCATTATTTCAGATGACAATTATCCGAGCAAAAAAAGATAGCGAGAACACACAAATATCAGCACTGATTTTTTCAACAAAAGCAATATTCTATGTTACGTCTAAGGGGTATAAAGGCTTTGTCTTTAATGGGACACTGAACTCTCCAAAATATCTCGAAGTGCGGAATCGGAGACGTACGTCGCAAAACAAATTTCCGCGAGCAAATTGTTTAGTTCATTAATTAAGCTGTGAGACACATCTTGAGTTATGAAGGAATTCCACTTTACCACCTATACCGAGAAATTTAATTCAATATAGAGCTTAGTTTCGGTTTCGTTCCAGAATGGAAACGTTCTTTTTGGCGTAAATATTACGCTAAATATCGTTTTTGTTTTCAGGATAAAAAAGGTGACTGGCGCTCATAACACCCTAGCTTCCTCGTATAAGCAGGAATCATGTATGTAGCTCAGTGAAGCCAGCACAGTAGACAGGCTCAGCAACTGGTATACCGGCGCGCATTTCCGACACTCGCTAAAATCGACATTTCGGAAAACGAGTGGCGCCACCTATAGTGAATTGGAGTCGCGAATATCGATGAAAAAGCCTGACAGGATGTCGCATTCCAGTTCCTGAAGAAAGCAGATTATGCGGTAAGAGTTTCGTATCCTGAAGGGGTCGTTTATCTGAACTTGAGATAGTATTTTTGCCAGAACAATCGAGAGATGGCCTTGCTAAGTGTGACTTTCTGAAACAATGGCGCGAAAGCAGTGTTGTACACGTTCCTCAAAAAAAGTACGAAAGCTCGTTCCTCGTTCCTTCCGATTTTCGGACCGCATTCCCGTTACAAGTTACACGTCTGAAAAAGGAACTCGTTCCCGTTATAGTTTAAAAAATGGAACGTATCGTTACAATACGTTCTATTTGTATTTGGCTAATTACTATATTTAATTAAATCAAGCATTTTTTTTATCTATCCCATAAGTAGCCAACATAGGAGTTTGTATGTCGTCATAGAAGGGCAACAGGAGAAGAAAATATGCGGAGGCAGGGTTTCATTTGTTGATATATTTAAGTTGAAAATGCAAGCCGTTTACAACTCCCTGTAACACCGAATTAGAGCGCAGCTCTTGAGGAGGAGGAGGGAAGGGTACTGAGGGTCACCTGTTCTCGGGGTGGGGGTGTCACGTGACCTCGGGGGGGGGGGGGATCATCTGACCTTGGGGGGTCATGTGACCCCCCAGAAAAAAATTTTCCGCTAGATTTAGCGGGGAATATTTTCCGCTAGATTTAGCGAGAAATTTTTTCCGCTAGATTTAGCGGGGAAATTTTTCCGCTAGATTTAGCGGGGAAATTTTTCAGCTAGATTTAGCGGGGAATTTTTTCCGCGTTTCCGCTAGATTTAGCGGGAAATTTTTTCCGCTAAATTTAGCGGGGAAATTTTTTCCGCTAGATTTAGTGGGGCAATGTTCGCTAGATTTAGCGGAGAAATTTTGTCTGCTAAATTTAGCCGGGAAATTTTTCCGCTAGATTTAGTGGAGAATTTTTCCGCTAGATTTAGCGGGGAACGTTTTCGGCTAGATTTAGCGGGGAATTTTTTCCGCTAGATTTAGCGGGAAAATTTTTCCGCTAGATTTAGCGGGGAAATTTACCCATAATACACCACGCGGTTACGCCGAAGGCGACGCCGACGCCGACGGCGACGCTGCTCAAGTCGGAAACGGGCGCCTAAGAGCTGCGCTCGAAAATCTCAGCTTTTAACCATATTCATGTTTATAGTAGATGATTCAGACCAGCCGAATATACTTTTACCCAACATTGTACGAGTGTTTAAGAACAACCTCAGACGTTTCAATTGAACAAAGCCCCTTGTTCTAACTTAACAACAGTTGCTTCTCGATATTGCTGTTCGCAAGACGAACAATTCGGGGAGAGGGTAGGGCCTTTAGAAGGTCAGTCTTAAAAACTACAAATATTTCTTTGTAAGGTTGGCTTTGTTCACTTTGAAGGTGGGGGGAAGGGGCAAGAAAAGAAATATTTTTTTTTGTATCTTTTAACTGACCAATGTTTGTAAGGTGCGTTCGATGTTTGTAACTGTAGGTCTCGTTATGGAAGTTCACAAGTGACTTTAGTCGGCCTTAGATTTTTGGGTGTAAGAGGATTCGTAGAACCGAAGAAAGTAGCTGAGATTGAAACAACCCTCTTTCTTTGCTTTTTCCTACGACTCAAAAAACTTGCTTTTTGTACCGCAGTTTCGGGCACTATAAAAAGAATCAATGTCAACCAGCTCTCCTGCACCCGAAACTGTTAGCAAGCGAGGTGAGGACCACACAAAACAATCCATAAGATTAGTAGCCAAAAAGGTAACGACACCTTGCACTTCGTAAAGATATTGTTTTTGCACTTTTAAGATTTTACTGTTCGAAGTAAAATAAAAATTACTCCACTGGACGAAAAAAAAAAACGCCGTTACTCTTTCCGTTCCAGTTAAAATGTAACGCGTTCCCGTTCCAGTTCCAGCGATGCAAAATGGAACGGCGGCGTTCCTTCGGTCCTCCTAAAAGGAACGCGTTCCAGGAACGCCATTCCTTGGAACGCCGTTCCGTACAACACTGCGCGAAAGAGAACCTCGTCATTGTGTGTTTTGGCCCAAAAACGAAGACACAAAGTTCACCTTGTTTCGTTCCTTTGATCTCTGTCACAAGACTTCCACATTGCTCCTCTGCGAGTATTTTAAGAATGGCCCCTTTTTGGTGATATACTTTGTTTTGGATCTACTGGAATGAAATTCTTCGCCATTGCTTGTCAAGCTTTTTCTTCAAGTGTCCCCGAATTCATAACCACAAACCCACTTCCTTCTCGGAGAGACATAGTCCTAAGGTCTTTGCGACGTATTTCACGCACCGTTGTGGCGAAACTAAACTTTTGATTTCCCTGGCTCCGTCCACCGACTAGGAAGTCGTCCTTCACTGACGATCTCTGAGATTGCTTCCTCGGTTACTTTGGATGCAATTTGTCGTACCTATCTGACCTTGTCGATGGCATTCAGACTTGGTTGGAGGGCAACTTTTTGCCCTTGTTCAAATACGCTTCGTGCTGGTGCTGAAAAAGATACTTCGGCGATGACCTGAATTGCGGAGCTTTTGGGCTCTTTCGTAGGTCTCCTGGCCAGATGGTGCTTCCATGCTGGAAGAAAACACATTTTATAAAGGTAATCCGTAGTATATCTTGACGTGCTCAAGTGGTTCGAAAAAACGTTGTGCCTAGGGCATTTGACTTTTAGAAAATCCGTGAGTATGCGAACCTGGCGCCATGTTTCGGATCTCAGGATTTTTTAGACTCTTTGGGCTTGGCCTTGCGATAGTTCAGCAGTGGCCATCTTCCAGCGCATTGTCGCGAATGCCAATGTGCTGCTTCTTTTTTCAAACATCACCATCATGGCTAGTCACAAAAAGACAGATCGCAAGGGAAATTCTAGAGTCCCTAGCCATTCAGGAGAGGAAGGAGGAATGTGTAAGCACTGCCTCCATCGTGCTACATACAAAAGAAAAGAGGTATTTCTAGGAAACGCACTCCGTGTAAAACAGTTTGAATGAGCCCACAGATGACATTACCTTTGGGGATGCAAGGTTTTCAAACTAAAGAGATGAAGACGAGGAATAACTATTTCATCTAGGCAATAATGAAAGTCGACGAAGGGAAAGAAGTTATTCAGTAAATGAATGTCGACGAAGGAAAAGATGCTGTTCAGTAAATGGTTGTTAGTCCAGCAGAATGCATCTGTATGTTCCTTGTCTCTCTCTTATTTCGTCCTTCGTTCAGCTGGCAAATATCACAAGCATGAACAACCAACCAGCTCAGCTCCAGGCAATCACAATGATTAAAGTAATCTCGCGTCCTCTTTCAGATTGTGCAGGCACTTCTTTGGCTTGTTTCAACGGTACTGGCTAGCTTCGTTCTTCTCGCCACGTATCCATGGAACAGGGGGAACCTGCCCGACGACATCCCAAACGCAATCTATGGGGGCTTCCATCGTCCTCTCTGGGCCGTAGCCTTTTTCTGGCCCATGTACGCCTGTGCCACGGGACGAGGAGGTCTGTGGTCAAGCATTTGTTTTTTAGGTGCCACTAACAATAAAACACTAATATGATAGGAAAGCTGGAAGAAAAAATACCTTTTCATGTGAAGTCTAGATGTAATGTGAACTTTTTCTTCTTTCTATTTTGGGCGATGTTTGGCGTGCTGGAAGCTCCAGATTTATGACGAGTAACCAAACAGTAATGCGTAATTTCTATATATTGCTCTGCCAAAAAGCAATGATTACAATAGTTACTTTTAGTAGTGTTTCCCAATGACTCTTTACAGTCTTGTAAAACAATTGCCTACCCTCACTACATTGTCTAGTTCAGCACGACCAACGCCAGCATTTATCGCGATTCACCTAAAAATGCTTAATACCTTTGGGTCTTTCTAATAGTCAACCTTTTTTACTGCGTGTTAAAGATGTAACAAGCTACATTTTAAAACAAAGTGTTCGAATCTACTAAGTATATTGCTTAAATAGAAGGTTCAATATAATCTACATTGACTGTTTTCTTTTTGAAATCACGCTTTGGCACTGCAGGATTCCTGAACGGCTTCTTCTCGTGGAACTTCTTTATACCACTCTCTCGGCTGGCGTTTTCCATCTATCTGGTCCAAGCGCTAGTTTTTCATCTTCGCATGATGCGGTTGAGAACCTACCTTAACGCCGATGAATTCTTTCAGGTAAGATCCCACCTGCGGGGGAAAGCGGCGGGAGAAGAAAACACGTGGCGAATGAAATAAATGTTACTACGACACTGTCGAGAGAAGTACACCTAATTTTATTGATGATTAAGCTGGCAGTATGATGCATACTTACTAATTATGGAAACACCAAAGTGAGAAGATGACAACGTCTTTATTATACAAAGTCAGTAGCTGTAAATGTGAACGCATATACTCAAAATAGAAATAACAGGTGTAATTAAAAGCTACAGTCCTTGTTTAAATTTGGAGTTGATTAATAACAATTCAATGCTAAACCAGTTTTTATTTGTAAACTTGATCTTACACTAGACTAGTCTAGCCATGGTCCAATTATGTGAAGTTCTGTTTAAGAGCTCTCGTTCGTGAAGTGTCACTAATCGAATGTCGGTAAAACTCCTTAACACCAAAAACGACGCCGCATCTGCGTGTAAACGAAAAGAGAATGTGGCGGGAGCTGTCCAACTATAGGGTGTCCCAAGCGGACCTTCCGCTGTAAAACGAGTCTGAAATATTTGCGCCTGCACATAGAGAGCTTCAATTTTCACCGAATGTGCACTGAGCTGGTCAATTTTATCGCATCAAATTTCAAAATTAATAATATTGCGAAAAAATAGAGCAAAAATCTTGCTAAAGTTTAGGTTAGGCGCGTTCGCAGAGGACCAAGTTAGTGACGCTATTTGTTATGGCATCTCCCGATAGGCGCAGCGAGCAGACGACAGAGTGCGTCGTCTGCTCGCCAAGCCCATTGGGAGATGGCGACACAATAGCCTCGTTAACTCGGTCGTCTGCGAACACGCCTAACCTTGACCTCGTTAAGTTTTTTGGGGATACGGTCCATTCGTCACATGCACACTTGTCACAGGACGATTGGTCACAGGGCGATTGGTCACAGGACGATTTGTCACACAGGAACATTCGTCACAGGACGACTCGTCACGCGGCCAACCGGTCCCAGAATAGTTGGTCCCCCCCCCCCCCGCCCCCAAGATGTATTGTGCAATTTGGCTGGAGCGGACAAAGTCGCTCACCTCATATCTCATCTTATCACCTCATATCTGAAAGGCGAAGAATTGGTAACGCACGTTTTAGCTTCTGGTTCGGTCCCAAACATATTAATTCGGCCTCAAAAAGTGGGTCACCTCTTATCTTAGCATGTCTTTCGCTTCTCAAGGTCAATAGTTTGTAACAGACATTTTAGCTTCTGGGTCCGTCCCAAACAGTGAATGTGGAGGCCATATAAGAGCGACTATTTTTGAACTCGGATTATATTCAAAATAATGGAGGTGATCGCTACAGAGAGAGCCATGATGCTGCACGAGGGGTACTCGTACACATTCAGCAGAAAGAATTCCGATACTAATTGATTTTGTCGAATAGATGTATGCAAGGCAAAAGTAAAAGCTGATTTGGCTGCCAGTCGGATTATTGCTCGTTCAAGCCAGCGACTGAGATCAACCTGCTGAAGACTCGTAATATAATGAAAGTAAGAGCGGAGGAGTGTTGTAAGATTAGTTTTCCTAACCATTGGTTTATGTGAAAGTGGGAAGTCGTGAAACTCCTCATCAGGGAATGTGGGCAGTTGTTGAAATTTGCGATTTACTACCGTCCCCTGCCCGATCGATGTGACCGGTTGCCCGCATGACGAGTCATCCTGTGACGAATGTTCCTATCTGACGAATCGTCCTGTGACCAATCTTCCTCTGACGAGTGCGCATGTGACGAATCGTCCTCATCCCAGTTTTTTGCTCCCATTCTTTACAGAAGGAAAGCTACGCCTTGAAACTTCACATGGGCAAACTGACCTACTCAGTGCAGATTGAGTGACAACTTATCATTTTTATGGGCAGGCGTACTTTTTTTGGCTCGTTTTACAGCGGAAGGTTCGCTTTGGGACAACCTTTACAATTATGAACGGGCTCTTTTTTCAGAAACAAATAAAAAATGAATTACAGACTTCTCTTTAATAGCTTGATTGCATATTTTGAATGCTTGCTCGAGATCTGCGATTGCGTTAATCTTTCTTTTTTTTAAATATTAGGACACACAACTATTGTTTATGTGCAGTTCACAACGTCGCTCGGCGTTTTCGCCCTGAGCATCTTCTTCGGCTACGTGCTCCACCTGACCGCCGAGGCTCCCGTCATTCAACTTGAAAAACTGATCTTCGGACCAACCAAAGACAAGAAAGCTTCAGAAACAAACGGCAAACCTTTCTTTGCCGCCGATTCAGAAAAGTCACAGCTATGATTGTGCATTATGTATTTGTTTACCGTACATGTTAAAAACCTGTCAACACCATGTGATATGAGTGGTTAAGAGGGAGTAGTAACCATAAAGGGCAGCTTCACATGACGTACGTACTTCCAGCTCAAACTCTCCTCGGACGCCATGTTGATGAACTTTCGTCCGATGTCATTCGATGCGCTAATGCAGTGCTTTCCAGCTCGGTTTAGTATTTGGCGTCCTGATCAAATGCGGCCACCAGAATAGTCGGCGACTCAAATGAGCGTCATCTGGTACTTGATTTTAATAGATTCCGGTCCTTATTCAGACTTAATTTAAATCGAGCCGGAGGCCGTGAAGTCGACCCGACGACGACCGAAATTGCCCTTGTATAGATGCTGGGGGAGGAACCTCGAAAGAAAAGAAATCGGATGAAGCTAAAATTTATGCGTCCCTAATATGGCCATGATTTCATGTATGCGCTGAGTTCTTTGGTTAAAAGAGCCGCTGGCCACGCTTCAGCGCTTCCCCAACACGCATGAAATAAAATAAGCTTTCGCGTGTAAAACAAATGGCAAAAGTGGGGAGCGCTGCTCATCAACATGGTGTTGCGCGGCTTGCCGGAAGGTGAAGGGGTTTTGTGGAACCGCCTTGTTGGTCAAACTGAGCTGAAGACCGCAGTAAATTGTTCACTGTTAGTCATTGAACATCCTTTCACTGTGCAATATTCCCAACTAGCATGGGAGGCCGGGACGTGCAGTGATCATCCTAGGTTTCTCGCGTTCACATTGTGGTTAGAAATATTACGTTCTGTGTATAATTACGATTAAATTACCCTCGTCGGCAAAGCTAGATGCCTCTTTACCTTAGTAACCAATAATTAAAAAGGTCATAAAATTTTTAAGAAAAAGAAAGGCAAATCAACGCACAAAAATAAGTATGCTAACGATTTTCTTGATGTAGATCTTGAGAAAACCTACCCGAAACTCAAATTACTATAGATGTTTTTTTTTGTGACGGCAACCATATGAATTCTTGACGTAGCTGAGTTGGCGAAAAATAGAAAATTACTTTATCTGCCGATAGGAATGAGCTAGAAATCGAGGGTTCAATAGTTCTACATTTTTGTTCTTGACTATATTTTTGAATTTCAGTAATACTTGAACTATTTACTTTATTGTTGGTCGCCCAACCCGACTACGTCATATTTCAAGGAACCCCAACGCAAAAACGGCTTATGGTGACTGCAATTTTAAGAAATGCAGGGAGTGGTTTTTCGCAACTTTACCAATGAGATTGTGGCATTACCTGATAAGAGCACGGAACTACCAATCATCAAATCTGTCACTGACTATAGGGCAACAAAACTTACAGACATTTGAAACAAAGCTAGACCTTATTATATTTTTATGTTTGTGTATAGATAATGCGTGGAGTGTAGATATGTCTATTATAATGTAATTTTTCCCCTCAAAAATCAAGCTTACTAGCTTAAGGGGACTGCGAAAGGTTTTAGTATGCATGACTAACAAAATATTTGAACCTGCAAAAAAAAAGAAGGTTATCAAAATCGAAAACTTACCCTCAGCACTGCATTTCCGATAAATTACTTCAAGGTGTCCTTGAATTGACAAAATATTTGCTAAGAATATGATGAAAGACGAGAATTTACAAATTGAGAGAAAGTGTGTTAATTGTTTCGTGTCTGTTGTGTGGAGGTGTGAATTTACCTTCCGGCACTTTACTACGTTCACTGAATGACATTTTGAGTTGTTCGCACTTTTTTTTTTTTTTTTTGCATCGGCCATTTACTCGATGTTATATGCGTCATTGAAAAACACTGAACAAAATAGAACTATAAATAGTTTGGGACTTTAGCTGACGTTCGTAAGCTAAAGTTGATTATCTCACTTAAACATGCAGCGAAAGGAGCTTCCAAACAATTATTACTGCAGTGTATATGAAACGAATGAAAATTATATTGAGCAGTTCTAAAACAGTATCAATTTTACTTGGACACCAAAATATTCAAGGGTCTTTCACAGGAGCTTAGTTATACTTCAGCAATATTTACTCCGAGCTTTACCTTCGAATGAAATAAATAAATTTGAGACTTAGACTGAATTAAATTTAGACACATTAATTGGTTTACTTTTGCAAAAACAAAACCTCCGGTTGGAGTTGCAAATTATAATAAGCTTCGTGCCCCTTTCGGGTGTGTTTGTTTTGTCTGGCTTTCCATCATATTGTAAATAAATTTATGAATTACGTTATCAATACTTTGAAGTGTGTTGTTTTTTCTTAGGTGGGGGAGGGGGGCGGCCGGCAACAATGAATTATCCGTACTATAATTTTTTCTCTCCTTGTATAGAAAATATTTTGTCTACGTTGTTGCCAGGTAGGCGAAATTACGATTGTAATTCAAGAATAAAATCTATGGCTAGAATAAAACATTCCAAATAAAAAAACAGTGGGCAATTGCGATCTAGAAATGTGCAGCCCTATATTGAATCAAAACTATCAAAGAGTTCAATCACAAATATGGTTCATTACGAAAGTCGCACTTTTTTGGCGTGCATTGGAAAATCTATAGGGTACGCCGGAAAAAAATTCGATTTTCGCAAATGAAGCCAGCATATTCCAATTAAGCTAGCTTCTCAGTCCTTAAATGTATTCTGCACACTGGTCAAGGGCATCAGTACATCTTGGCAAAGACTGTCTGGCATCATCGGCTTAAGTTCAAGGATTTATCCTTTTCTCCTGACTTTCTCTCTTTTGGATTCACCCCATTTTCCTAGTTGTGCATCAATGTTCAGTAAAACTGTGCAAATAGTACTGCATAAAGTTGTCCACCAGAATCGCCCATGACTAGGACAGACGTAAAACTGTTTTATGGGGTTTGTTATATATAAAATATACAACTAGAAATTTGTTAGCAGACTGTAACCACCCATGTATTCTCAAAATTCTACAAAAAAGGTTACTTCCAAAAAAACGCCCTCTTTTACAGAAACTGAGAACAGTGTATTGTAGCGTGCTCTGAAGACACCATCAGCTGACAAGTTGGTAACTTATATACGATTGGCTTTCATATAACTTCATCTGGTAAGATAATTGCATGTATCGAGGTGATGACTATTCCGCCGCATGTCAGTATTTCAGAGCTTCGAGGAAAAGGAACGTGATATTTGAAAGATACCGCACGAGAAGAGAAGCAAGCCGTTCTGACAGGGAAATTGAGTTATGATCAAATTTAAAAACAATTCCAAAATGCTTCCATATTTACATGTCGTACCTAGGCAGGGTACGTTGTTCTGAGTGAGATCCGTCTATGCCCAGACGAGACCTAACGTTCCGTGGACATCATAAAATGTGCTGAAGTCCGACGTCCCGAAGCCGACGTCCTACAGACATCCCGCGGATGTCTCAGGAAGGACTATCCGAAAAATGTCTCGGAGTTCTTGGGACCAGGATATGGAATATAAGTACACAATTCCACAACTCCGCCTAAAAAAACAACAAAAAAAGCGTGATTCTTTTCTGTTTTGAATGAGTTCCAAGTGCATCTGTTCAGGCGCTTTCACTGCATAAGCTTTCAATGTTCGTATTCGTTGCATCATAGCCGCTTCATTCCTCAGTGTGACGGACACGATGAGCGACCTTGGTTGTGCCGTCGTTGTACATTGTAGTCGCAATGTAGTAGTGTGCTCCTACTCGTGGAGGCTGGTGTATGACTGACTCTGGCGTTTGCCGCAAAGTCCTGAGGCTGACCGATCCACAGCCATCATCATCGCCAGCGTCATCGGTTTCGGTTCAGCAGGCAGTGTTGGAGCACTGCACAGGCCGGACTTTCTGGGCCCGGCCCGATAGAGGCACGGCCCGGGTCCGGCCCGGGTCCGGCCCGAGCCCGATAGAATATTTAATTTCTTGGCCCGGCCCGACCCGGCCAGGAAGAGAAACTGCCCGGGCCCGGCCCTGGCCCAGCAAAATTTTTAGACAGAAGCTTGAACCCGGACAAAGGCCGACAAACAAAAAAATTAACATAAGCCTGAGCCCAACCCGAGCCCGACAGATTATATACATGAGCACGAAAAAGTTCCTAGGCTTTAATCTAAAAACTGACTGAGCATAAAGCCAGCATATTTGACTTAAATTTATTTTAAACTTAAACCGAGTTATTGTTGCTGTTATTTTTGTATTTGACACGATAAATATTTTGACTTTGACGATGTATTTTTGAGAATATTGGCGACGTATGTACTTCATAAGTGATTTAGAGACAAAAAGTGGGCAATATTTTATTTACTGTATGCAATTCTTGAAGAAATATTGGACTTTTCGTCGTTCAATTCGTTTCACAGAGAAGTTTCCACTCTACATGCTTTTGTGAAGAAACACTCAGAATCCCACTAGTGCATCTTCAAAAGGCTGTATTAGCATAAAAGTACCTATGGAATAAGCTTATCTTTGGTGGCATAGTAGGTCCCCTGCACAAAGTGAAAAGTCAAGCTCACGTTTCTCTTCTTTTTTTTTTTCCTTTTAGTGTGAAAGGCAGAGAAAAAAGACACTCATGTTGCACCCTGCGACTGGAATGCCCTCGTCTTCTTGACCGCACTTTGCCACTACGCTGATGGAATCCATACGTTTCCTTTTATTCATGTGAAGTCCTTCCAAAAGCAAGACGTTTTTTGTTTTTTTTTTTCTTTTTTGAACGGCGCCAAGTTATTTTGCATTTCACTTGTTTCTAAAACGTCTTTTCTTTTTTGAATGGCGCCATAGTTATTTTGCATTTCGCTTGAACCTAAAAGATTAATCAGAACACTTTTTGTTATCAACAAATTAGAATTTGCGGCGAACGACTTCCCAACCAGGGTCCGGGCTGGCCCGGGCCGCGACGGCCCGAAAAATATTTTGTTCAAGCCCGAGCCCGGCCCGGGTCCGAGAAAAGTTCGTGCTACCCGGCCCGAGCCCGGTTCGTGGGCCGGGCCGGGCTCGGGCTTTCGGGCTAGGCAGTGTGCTATGAA